CCGAGGACACGAAAGCTTACCTTGTAAGCTACTATCTAATGCCAAGAGTCCACACAAGCTCAAGGCCCACAAACAGCACAATCACAATCTGCCCATGCCATAATTAATAATCAATAATCATAGCTCAGATTACACTAAGTGATTAAGTATTTCTTACTCATTTTAACTCATTACATGTTGTTTCTGCAGGAAGTATTGGAATACTCCAGCTCTCCAGAAAGTATTCGATTACTTTCACTTAAGTATTCGAATACTCACCAGTATCCGAATACTTAACCCCCCAGTATCCGAATACCTCAGTATCCAAATACTAAACTTTACTGTATTCGAATACTTTTCAGTATTCGAATACTTCTTCAAAGGTAACCGAATACTTTTCTTCCCAGAAAAGTATCTCAATACTCCAGCAAGAGTATTCGAGTACCTGATAAACAAGTATTCGAATACTACACGAAAAGTATTCGAATACTTCTTCAACAGAATGCAGAAATTCGAGCCAACTTCTGCATAATCCCAAATTTAAGGGTCCAAACGCGATTGGGAGTCCAATGACTCCCTAAACAGATATAACCCAACATGTTATGAACCCAAAAACACCTTCCTTCATTCAAATGGTTAAAGTTTCCCTTTTTAATTGATTAAACAAGCTTAAACCCTCAAAAAAAGAACAAAGGATGATCATGAATACCTCCAAGAGGTTTAAACTCAGAAAAGACTCCTCCTTGGAGCTCGCAACACAGCCCCACAGCACTGCACACAAAGGTACACGAATTGACACCTCAAGCTAGTGTCTTTCTCCACAAAGCACACAACTTGGAGCACAAGAATGCCACTACCAAGTGACTAACCCTTCAAACTAAGAAAACAGCCCTCAACACAGCCAAAACAGTGGCCAAACTCAGAACAGTAGCCCCCCACTCAACCCCAAAGGTGACTCTCTCACACACCCAAGTGTTTAGAAGAAGAGAAATGGAAGAGGAAGCTTCAAAGTTCACCAAATGGAGCACAAGGCAATGGAACAGTAGCAAGGGACTCACCAGCCGCCTAAGTCACGTAGGAAAATAAGGGTCTAGGGCTTTGTGCCCAATAATAAGGGTATATATAGCCACATACCCACTTAACTCACAGTATAAGCAGAAATAGCAACGCTTAGCATTTTAATCCCAAACTCAGGATTCTTAACCTACTCAATTTTACAAGAATTAACATATTTTTCTTATATTTTTCCGAGCACCTTTCCGGTACGCGCTTTTCCATAGCCAGTATCAGTTCTTGCATCAGTTCTCATTATTTTGACTTGAAACTCGTTTTACAAGTCCTGTATATTATTCCCATAATATATAATCACTTTTCATAATTTTCCGGGATACTTTGTCGGTACACATTTATACCGACTAGCAGAACTGGTATCTGCACTTTTTCTCCGAAAAGCGACTTTCAACATTATTACCCACTAATTGTAATTATTAAAGCCACATAATAATTATTAGGGTCAATTATGGAATCATTTCCTAATTTTGCATAACTAATTAATTAAATTCCTTAATTAGCGGTGCAGGTTCTTACAACCACCACCACCACCATGTCATCACAACCACCACTACCATTGTCGCCGCCACCAACCACCATCCCCACCACCATTGTCACAACTACTGTCGTCACCTTCACCACCTCCATCCCAACCACTACCGCCGCCGCACCATTACCACCGCCACAACTACCACCACTATCATCACCACATCACTGCCACCACCACCACAACCACACCATATGAAAAGGAAAGTGATGATCCGAAATTTTTTTATATTTAATAGAAATTATTTTTTATTATATTATTTGTTGTGTTATCAAACACAATTCTCATTTTCAGAATAAAAATTGAAGATGTTATCAAACACTTTTTTTTCCTCAGAAACTGTTCTAAGGCACATAAATAGAAAAGAATTGTTTCTTTTCAAAAACAGTGTTAGAAAATAGAATGGTTGTCATACACACATTTAGTGAACAATAGTTGGAGGCAAGAAGTTGCTTGAAATATTATATAAAAATATCAAATTTTGAATGCTTGATAGTATTATCACCAATTTAAGAGAATCTTATAGGTAACATATAAACTAATGGATCTGCCCTTGTGAAGTTAAATAACCTAGCTTTTATCTATTAAGCTTGAATATGAATAAATTATTGGACAATATTGACAATGTATCCAATAATTTTTTTATGTTAACCAACTATGATGGACCGACACTGACACAGACACGACATGACACGTCGACACGTTAATTCTAAAAAATGTCATATTTTGACACGTTGGGACATGTTTTGATATTAAATAATATTTTTAATATATATAATATAATTTATATTTAATACATATAACAGCCTATAATAAGTCATATAACCAATCAAATATTCAAATTTCATAACATAAATATAAACAAAAATAATTTTTCGTACCTTGTTAAATTTTCATGTAAATTTCATAACAAAAAAAATTGATTTATAAATTTTTATTTTTTATTTTTAGTTAATAAAATAAAATTAAGAAGTAAAAAAAAAAACTTGTCAGATGCGTGTCGGAGCGTTGACCGCGTGTCGAAAAAATTGTCTGTGTGTCAAAAAAACGTGTCAAAGCGTTGACCGCGTGTCCCAAAATATTGACCACATGTCGAAACGTGTCGAAGTGTATTGGTGTTCGACACGTGTCTGACACGCACATTTTGAAAAAAAGAATGAGTGTGTGCTTTCTTGTTCACCAATATGGTGATTAGTATAATGCTCAAAACAATATGAGTTATATACCTTCACTTTGACAATCAATTTAAATCCATAAAAGAGTTTTAGTAGTAAGATATTAAACTCAATCATTATTTACAATCCAAATAAGTGAATTATCATTATTAAGAATATGTTTTAGAGATCAACATATATATCAAAATAATTATTAAAAAATTTAGATTCAATTTAAACTCACCAAATTCCCAACATTCAAAATAAATCTCAAAACCAGTTTATAATCATTATGTGAATAAAATCAAGTATAAGTAGACCAAACATAGTAGAGATAGCAAAATGTAAGTCTCAAGTAACGGACTGTCACACTTATTAATTCCTTAAAGTCAAGATTCTAATATCAAGTTTCGAATAAGATCATTTTACCAAAAGAATGATTCAATCTGATTGGATTATATTATTTAGTTTAAAATGAGAAAATACATCCTAAAATATATAAATTATGCTCATGATTTGACGAATAAAGGAAGATTCAATAATTCAATATATTAAGACTTATCTACGTAGTTAAAAACTTCATTTCTACTATTATTTTGAATAACCAATCTTTAAACATATCTTTTTGTGAGAACATCAGCCATATTATAAGTCAAGGTGATGATTTCTTATTTTCTCTAATGAAATATTTCGTAGGACAAAATGAAATTGATGGCCCATATTGACAACTCTGTTTGAACATTCAACTCTAGCGGCTAATCTTGATAATGAAATTTGAATACGCAATAGGTTTTAACACTAAATAAACCAGTCTACATCAGTATTTATTAAATCTAAGTTATTTTCTGATCCATCTTATCAAATTACGAGCGCCCTTATTCTTGAAATCATAGGCATGAATGTCATTATCGCACTTTTAGAGTCAAACTCCCTTTTTTTTTTTGAAGGTTTTTTTCCTTCATAAATTCGATATTGCAATTTTTTCATATGAGAATAATCCTTTTTCTTTCTTTTTTTTCTTAACAAGGACAAGGACAAGTACAAGTATACTATTTCGATATTTATTATACTGGGTTTTCACTTTTATTATCTTCTATAGTTAAATTGATATCCCTTAGAATTAGGATGAAGTTTTAAGGCTATTTATGCATTTTTTTAAGGAAAAAAAAGAAAGAAATATTTTCCCAGATTTCTCCCATAATTTTAAAAGGAATATTAAGTTGACTCTTAAATTTTACAATTATATTTCGATAAACATTTTTAAAATTTAAAAATAAAAACACGTTTCTTAACTTCAATTTGTGCACTTTTTTAATGATTTCACAATACTATTGATTTACATTATCTAAAGGAGGGTGGGTATTCACGACATGTTTACACGTGATTATAATGACTCATGTTTCAAAAATTAATATTTTGAACTGTTAATAGCATACTTTACCTTCCGAGTGATATGCTCATTTTAGAATAATCAAATCCATTTTACGGTCAAAACCTAAAGAATGCAATTGTTGAGAGGGCTTACCAATGTGAGATTTTCAAATAACAAAGTTTTTTTTTTATCACTCTCAATAAAGATTGAATAAGTGGAATTTTATGGAAGTATATAAAAATTTATCAAGAGAGATAAATACAATTTTCACATTATAAGATTGTATAAAAATGTAACATGAAAAATTCCATTCTCATGTTTAACAATAAGAGGAGGTTTAAATTTACAAACTAAAATGTTTACAAATTCTTACAATTAAATTTTGACAGTTGATTTTCATTAACCTAACAATTATAATCTATTGGAAATTAATAATTAATTAATAAGTATGACCTAATAAATTATGATAGTTAAATTGATGAAAATCAACGGTTAAAATTTAGTTATAAGAGTTTATAAATAATTTATTTTGTAAATATAACCTTTTATATATGAAGGTGCCCTGATCAAAGAAAAATGATAAACACATAGTAAATTTGAAGACTATTTTGGTTTAAAAAATTACTCGTTTCAATAATCAACTCCCTAAACGTTTTCTCGTTAATAAAAAAATGTTTAATTCACATATTAGGAAGTTGCATCATTTACCTTTGTAATGAGTTATGTATACAAAAAAGAAGAAAAAAATACACGTGCATCACATTTTATTTAACTTTTGATTAAACAAAACACAAAAGGCACGTGCTTAGACCATGGAGTCAAAGTCAAGCTTTTAAAAAAAAAATCAACTCAACAGCATTATGTCATAATAATACAATGGAAAAAAATAGTCAGCAGAAAATGTCAATGCCCTTATGTTCATCCAACTCAGTCATTTTGTATGTAGAAAATTCAAATGAGATCAATTCAGCATCATAAATCTCGCAAATTCTTCATAGCTAACTTGACCATCTCCATCCAAATCTGCTTCTCTAATCATTTGTTCAACTTCTTCGTCTGTTAGCCTCTCTCCCAGTTTCATCATTACGTGTCTCAGCTATATAACAGAAAAAGTGACTCTTTTTAGTGATGATTAAATGGCTTTGCATGCAAGATATTATTAGAGCAGAGTTATTTTAAAATGGGGATGCATGAAAAGTGCAAAAAATGAAGATTAATTGAGTTGCATGGCATGTTGTTGTTTACCTCAGTAGCTGATATGTATCCATCATTATCTCTATCAAATACTTTGAATGCGTCTTTTAGCTCCTCAGTCACATTTTCCTATGAAAATTGATAATTAACATCATTAGCCTCAAACAGTTTAACTTTTTTCTCCTTTTCTTTTAAAGTTTCAAAACAATGAGAGAGGTTTCTATTTGTTACCTTCGTTTTCATTCCCACAATGTTCAAGAACTCTTCAAAATCTATACTCCCGTTTCCATCAATATCGACTTCACTAATCATTTTTTGAATTTCTTCTGTTGTTGGATTACCATCTAATGATTGGATAATGGTCATCAGTTCATCCACAGTAATGAATCCTAAACATCACAAACAATTAATCCAGTGAATCAAACCATCATATTGAACAATGAACAGTTATATTAGAACTATGTAGTGATTAAGGTGCAAAAGATCACACCATCTGAGTCTTTGTCAATAATGCAAAATGCTTCACGCAATTCAACAATCTGATCTTCGGTCAATGCATCTGTCATCATTTGCTGCATCAGGCTCAAACTGAAGTGGAAACCAGGAAACTGTAATAGTTTAACTGTTTGTTGCCCAATGGAAGGGGATGATGAAATTAAGAGCAGTTTCTATTTGTTATGATGCTATCTTCCTTGAGTCCTCGAGCTTTTATAGATAAGTCAGTGGAGCAATTTTTGTTTTATTGAAATAGTCAAAACATGCTGGATGGAGAACTTCTAATTCAATAGGCATGAATTTTTCCAGAAGGAGGTTAGGAATCAACTATTGAAAGTGAGAATTGTTCAATGTGACTCCTTTCTTGTCCCAAATCCCAACTACATCGTAACACTCACCAAGGAATGACATATTTGCATACATATTATGTTGTCAGTCTTACAATGAATTGGTTGACACTTTTGTTATACTTTTGGTTGACAATTCTATTTGTGCGCTTTGTGGGTACTTCAAAAAACTGGAAGTATTGTGTCCTACGATTTGACACGTTCTAACATTTATAATATTTAAAATTTTATTAAATATCATAAAAAAATTAATCGATGTTTTATTAAATTGATATAATAAAAATTAAAAATGGATACCAAATAAATCTCACTAAAATATATAAAAGATTTTCATTTTGAAAATATAATAATAAATATTTACATTTTATGTTTCTTTGCAAAATTGATGGGTATTATAAGTTTAATTTCATTTTTTTGTTAAATGATTGAATATTAAATATAATGTACATGGCATAAATTAAAAAAATTATTTAATATCAAAATATATCCTAACATATCAAAATCTAACATTTTTTAAAATTAAAGAGTGAAAATATAATGTCGTATCAGTGCAACATAGCTTCAGGTATTACCCTTCTCATCGTTGGGTAACAAATATTAAATAAAATACTTGGGAGGCCAGACCCATAACTATTTCCACATACATGGCCCAAAGTTGATTGCACATAGCCCAGCTTCAACAGCCCACAATTGTCCTGTCTTTCTTGCTTTTTTTTCCCACTCAAAGTACCGAGTTTGTTACGGAGCAGAGTCGAAGCCTCCATTCATGGCGAGTTAACCATCTCTGTTTTACTCCTTCTCTTTGTTTTATATTACTCACAGTTGAAGAAGCACAGCTAATGTCAAATCACTTGCCCTCAGATTCTGTTAAGAGCTTTATCTTGCACTATAGTTTTCTCCCTCAAAAAGATAACATAAACAGCCGTTTATTAGGATAATATCATTCGGGAAAAAAAAGGAAGGGAAGGTGACCTCGAAACAATCATTGCATTTTAACATCCTTATAATTATTATAGATAGCATTCCACCTCTAATAACTCAAGACAGCTATGGATAGAACAAAATAACTAGTGAACTTATAAAATAGGGATGCATTTGGCACTCCCACTCATAATTATCATGGCTTAAGAAAGCATGCAGAAAAACTGAGCTCGAGTAGGTAACAGGCTAGTTGTGAGGTTTGATAAAATGTTTCTCAATTTCATATGTAATAATCTTACATTCGATGAAACTTTGAACAAAACCCTGATAGTATCCCAAGGTTCACTAACTACCAACATCTCTCATATTGGCTGACCTTTGGGAACAACTTGATCTTTGAGCCACATGTAAATAGGAACCAATACAAACCATGTAGCTGCCATGGCACCCAAAACAAAGCGCAGTAAGAAGACAAAAGGATTTACAGGCTTTTCAACATCTTCTTCCTTTGGACCAAGCTGCAGCAAATTGTACAAACCAAACCAATCAGCATACTTTATATGTTGCTCCCTCTTGTGAAGCTATGATAAGAAATAATATTAATGCACTGCCATGTTGCCAATGCAAAATGTGAGTTCTTTGACAATGATTACCATATGCAATAAACCATTAAATCCTTACGAATAGAGACATTTTGCAGTGAAGCAAAAATTCTATAATGTCTGCAGCAGTGGCAAACATAGGTGAAAATGTTAGTGCTTTATCGGAAATCCAGACTCTAAACCAAAGTGTTCATAGCATTCAATTGAAAAAATCCAGTACAATTGCATGCCTGTGTGAATATGATACGATCCTAGTCAGCAAACATACACAGCTACTGCCACGTCAGCTAGGATGTGCCCAAATTACCCCGTAACAGAATGGAGAGCGTGGAGGTGACTTGGAGTTAGTTATAAGTAGAGGGAAGGGAGCATGGGAGGGGATCAGAAAAGTTTGGAAGAACTTGGGCCCTTTGGGGATTAGGAGAGAGTGGAACCTCTCATATGTGTTCCACGTTATCTTTACCTTTATTGCATTGTTGATTTCCTTTGGGATCTTGTAATTTCGTTTATTGTCTACAAAACCCTCTCTGTAATAGCATTTCCGATTGCTATTGTTATTGAGAAATACATGAATGATGAATGTTCAGATCTTTATTTCCTTAGTTGATTCTGTTTGAGCTCTGTTATTGTAGTTGGTCCTTATCAATTGGTATCAGAGCTCCAATCTAGGAGCTCTGTGGGATGGTTACTACCAGAAGAATGGAGAATCGATTGGAAAATTTAGAAGAGGAGCTGCGTAGGAACGAAGCAAGACACGATGAAGTGATTCGAAGGCTGGAAGCGAGTGAGTTGGGCTTGACTGAAATCATTCAGAGGTTGGACGAGATGGCGGGGAGAAGGAGGAGACGTTCTCGTAGAGGAGAAGAAGATCCGGACGACAACGTTTCATATGCTAACGGAGGAAGGAAGAGCGGAAGGTTCAACGCATTGGCTCTAGATAGCTCGTACAGAGCTCTGAACTCGCTCAAACAATGGGGTAGTGTTGCTGAATTTTGAGCGGAATTCAAAAAAATGGTGGGAGCTCTTCGTTTCGAGGATGAAGACTTACTCAAGGAAGCATGGTTGAACGGAGTGCGGAACAATATCAAGGGAGAGCTGCTGAGGTACCCGACGCTTAGCTTGACGGAGATGATGAAGTTGTCGTTGAAGCTTGAGAAGAGAAACGTGGTTTGGAGAGAGGAAGGTTCTGGACCGGTTGGCAGGAGTTGGGATCAGGGCTTAGCATACAAATTTGGGCCCAACTGAAACGAAAGGGGGATTCGCAGCCCATATGGGCCAAGGTAGCTTAAACAATATGAGCCCAATTCGTTTTTCAGACTTGAACCTTAACATTTCGAACGCTGGGTTAGTGCATACACGAACTGGTCTTAGTGAAAACCCTAAGGAAGGGTCAGCGGCGAAAGGTTCTGTTTCCATCACCGGAAACCCAACGACAAGAGCTTCGCAAGACAAGAGCGACGGCTGTCTCAAGCTGAACTACGCGAGCAACAACATTACGACTTCATACGCGACAAGCGTTGGAACCCAAGCCACATAGGTCAGGCCCGTCAGCTCCATCTGCAACTGGGAGACGACAACGAGGAAGAGGATGAGAGGAAAGAAGACGGAGCAGCAGTGGTACCAGTTGTTGGCGTATCAGAAATTGGCCCAAATCCTTCGCTGGAGGAGTTTGTCAATACCCAAGTCAGTTTTGCCAATATTTCTGAGTGTATGTCCTCCTGTCACTCTGCAACGTTGGACATCAATATCAAGGAACCAATTACCTTGGTTTTGAATCGCCTGGGATCATGGTGGATAGTCAGAAATGAGAACGACAGAGCGTGGAGACCTTTGGTTGAAGCATGGCGTGAGTTAGGCAATTCTGAGGTAATCAACGTAGTTAAGAGGTTTCGTGTAGTCAATGAAAATAAACAGAATATTTTATTTGTTGAAGATTCTGATTTTTTTGGACTGGATGGAATACAAGAACATCCTTTGCCTAGCTATGGGAATATGTGGAAAGGTATATTTGGAACGGAACATTTTTCCACTATCATTAATGCTTTTCATCAACGTGATAAGGCTGTTATGTCTGCTAATGAAAATATGATGATCAGAGCTCATGTTTCTTGCTTTTTGAAAACAAAGACAGAGACACCCAGCTACAAATTTGTAATTAAGGGTTCAAGGGCAATAACAAAATGGGATCCTGGTGGGAGTTATCATGCTTCGAGCATATATGGATCCCAACAATTCAAGCAATGGGATCCCGGTGGAAGGTGCTTGGGGGTTAAACATCACCTTGAGGACAAGGTGATTGTTTGGAGGGAAGTATTGATACGATCCTAGTCAGCAAACATACACAGCTACTGCCACGTCAGCTAGGATGTGCCCAAATTACCCCGTAACAGAATGGAGAGCGTGGAGGTGACTTGGAGTTAGTTATAAGTAGAGGGAAGGGAGCATGGGAGGGGATCAGAAAAGTTTGGAAGAACTTGGGCCCTTTGGGGATTGGGAGAGAGTGGAACCTCTCATGTGTTCCACGTTATCTTTACCTTTATTGCATTGTTGATTTCTTTTGGGATCTTGTAATTTCGTTTATTGTCTACAAAACCCTCTCTGTAATAGCATTTCCGATTGCTATTGTTATTGAGAAATACATGAATGATGAATGTTCAGATCTTTATTTCCTTAGTTGATTCTGTTTGAGCTCTGTTATTGTAGTTGGTCCTTATCAGAATACAACCCAGGAAAAGAGGGAACAACAACATAAATATGTCGAGTTCCTAAAATATCACGAGAAGCCACATCTAACTGGATGTCAATTCTAGTATTAAATATGTAACAATCACCAGTATGGGGAGTGTCAGTGTCCGCACTGCTGTTAACTGTTCAAGTTAAGTGGCTAATTTGTTAATGGTCAGTAAATCATAACATGGTAGGATGTATCATTGCACAAACAGACCCACAACATCAAGGAAGGAGATACAGACACATACAAACTACATTTGATTTGAGTTAAAATAAAGCAACAATAAACCCCACAAAGAAAATAAGGTCAAACATCAACAAAAATAAAGATTGAGAAGCTAAGATGACAAATACCTGCAAAGGAGAATCTCCAGATGCAGGTTTAACACCAGTCACCGAACAACCCATAATCAAACCATGACGGCGAACCCCACGGTACCATTTTGGGCCAATCCTTTTTAGTTGGACATCTTTAAATCCTGCCTTTTCAAACCACTCAATATACTCTTCCTCCTTGGGGAAAAGCATCCAAACATCTGCAAAGAAACGTGACAACCAAAATGTTGGGTAGACCGGACCAATCACACATGCTTTGCATCCAAGTTTCACAACCCTGTAAGCTTCCTTGATGCCACGCTGTGGATCCGGCCAGTATTCAATACTGATAAACGAAAAGATATCATCATCACCTCTTTTAAGGCAAGCTGCTCTATATCTACTATATACACATATATATACATATATAGCCATAATGCAAATTATCCTTAAAAGTTTGTCCCTGAATAAATTGAACACTTGAATAACAACAATGAAACTAAAGCATCATGCATTTTCATAGAATTTCAGCATATTCAGCACTTATATCCAAAGATATGTGAAGCCAGAGCTGTACCTTCCTGCGGATACATATCTATCTGCATAATCAGTTCGAAAAGGGAGATCTTCAGCATCCCCTTCAATTATTTTGCATTCCTTGAGTGGTTCCTTTTGCTTGGCTTTAGCAAGTTGATGAGGTGACTGGTCAAGAATGGTGACATTCTTTGCATCGACATGCTTGACAATACCCAATGTGGTGAAACCCGTGCCACCACCAACATCCACAACAATCATGTTCCTATCACTGAGATCAGCTGGTTCAAGAGCTTCATCCCTCATATCCTCAGTCCAATGGCCAGGGTTTATGACATGGTCATACACAATTGACAGAAACCTATAGAACCAAAATGCTTCTTTCTTGTGCTGAATGAACCTGGGCTGTGAGGTTGGCCTCGAAGCCGAGACACTACACTTGGGTACTACTATGCTCCGAGAATTGGGAACCCTAGTAGTAGCAGAAAAACCCCATTTTGGGAAGCTCTTCGCGTGCAAATCCGAACCCGTGAAACCTAACCCATTTCCGATTGGGGTTCTGCTACCCAAAAGTGTGAGCTTTTCAGTTCCACTGAGCATCATTGAAGCCATTGAATCAATCTACGAAAACTACAAAGGAAGTGAATTTTAGACCTTACAAGGAGAGTTATTATCCTAAAAATTAAAAGCAGAAGAAATGAATGAGGTTACCGATACCAGGTGGAAAGAAAGAGAAGGACGAACCACGCTGTGGCTTTGCCTGTTCAACTTGTTTTCTCTCTGTGTCGTTCGCAAAATACCAATTTCAATTCATTTCTCACCACTGTTCTGATATGCTTTTGGAGTTACTTATCACCTCCTATTTTGATTTGGAGAATTTAAACTCTTTTATTTTGTTTTTTTAATTTAAATCTAATAACTGATATCATTTATATCTGATGTAGACTCTAGACCCAACACACTCGTCTAATTAGATCACCTACACGTATTTAGGTTCACATCCCTATCTCCTTTGATAACTTCAGTTTCAGAAAGGGGAAAAAAAGAAAAAAAAGAAAAAAGAAAAAAAAACAATAGTGTACTGTAGACCCATGATTTTCGTTATCTATTGACAATTAATAGATTTCTAATGGTAATTTGGGCTAGACTGTTTTCTATTTGATTTGGTTATGTTTTGAATAAAAAGTCACCTAAATCAAATTAATTTATTTTTAAATATTAAGAACAGATCTATGTTACTAATTACATAATTTACTTTTATATACAAAGATAGTGACTTAAATCTTAACTTACTCTTCTTTAAAAAAATAACACAGGTCATATTATTTTAAAATCTTAACTTACTCTTCTTTAAATTCTTAACGTCTTTTTTATTATTTTAAATTTATTACGCATATATTTTTTTATAACTTTGAATATTTTTATCCTTCTAATTTAAATTTAAATTTCCTTTTTCTCTTTAATTTATTATTTTTTAATTTTTTTCTTAAATTTGAAAATTCACGTGCAATACACAATATGCTTCCCAATTGAACCGAATAAATTCAATCTTAATCATATTAATTAAGGTGATCCAATTGATTTGTTTTTTATCAAACTCTATTTTATCGTAGATAAACATAAATTAAAATTATTGTTTTCTTTGGTGACTCAATCAACAATAAATTTGCTTAAAATTATTAATAAAAATCCTAAAACACATACTGATATTTATTTCCCATAAATTTTCTTCGGTTATGAATAACTGTAATTTGGGTTAGTTTTTTCAATGCATCCTTGAATTAAATTTAAATATAACTACCAACTTTGTGAATCAATTGATAAGAGATAGTTCCAAGTTCCAACTCAACTAATGATCTTGAATTTGAGTATTTGAGAATAGTTATATTAAAACTTGATAGGAACAATTTTGTTACTCATGTGCTCTTACTCGACCTGAATCGGATTAATTAATTAAATAATGAATCAATGGATAATATCTTAAAAAAATAATATTTAAATAACCAAAATAAGAAACACATTTCTTAAATAACTCCATTACAAATCCTTGAGTTGAAGCAAATGATATTTACAAAACTTAAATTTTTTATTTAAACTCAAATATTATAATAATAATAATAATAATGGGTTTAGTGTTTGTCATTTTAAATGACACAACTTTGTGTCATTTTTAATGAAACTACGTCGTTTTGGTGTGTTTTATCATTTTCTCTAATTTATAAAATTAGAAATAAAAAGAAAATGGAGGAGAGAGAATGTAAAAATTTATTAAAAATGACATAACTTTGTGTTATTTAAAATAACAAATATTTTTCCCATAATTAATAATAATAATAATAATAATTATCATATATACTATACAAGGGTTGCATTCATCAACTTTAGTTTTAAAAACTACAAATAAGGAGAAGGCGAGTGCATACTGTTTGTTTTATTGTTTAAGTATTTTCGATTAATATAATAAGAAAAAAACTCAAGTTAAATTAAATTTATAGATATAATACAAAAACAAATAAATAAATACATACTAACAAGAGTAATTAAGATAAGCGAATTACACCCCTAAAAATAAGATAAAGGTTCAAACAAAAAAAAATAATTGTTAGAAGAGTCCCAAGAAATGTTAGCGAGGATATTTGGTACAAACAAAAAAATTAAAATATAATCTTCATGTTTTAGGTAGTGTTTGGTTCAGGGAAAAAAAAATTTTACTAGGAAAATGTAATTGATAGAGAAATGGTTGGAAAGTGAGTTTGATAGGAAAATGTAAAAAAAGTTATTTGGTTGACCCAAATATTACCAGAGAAATTTATTTAAATATGCAAAATTTATGTTCGGGAGAAACTTTGCACCTGTTTTTTTCTCTTCCTCAGTTATCTCAAAATACCACATCTCAAGTGGTATTCTGTAACAGTGAATTTCATCCAAAAATCAACACAAAAGTCATTTTCTCATCTATCCTATTTGCTTGATATTTTTTGAAAAAACATGAACCAAACGTAGTATTTTTCAATATCCACATATATTTTCTCGTCAATCCTAAAATAAGGAATTTTTCAATTTATTAATTGGTTTTGTAAAAGGCCAAAAAAAATGTTATCTGATATCATTACATGTGTTCTGAACCGGAACACGTGTGATATTCTAAACTCAACACAACCCTTTGTGTACTCATGTAGGGCCCAAACTCAGATCCATGTGAACTGCCAGAATCTCATCGATGATTCCCCTCTATCATCTGTTATTTCTGAATCTTGATCCCACATGACAACATACTCTGCTTACAATCAATAATGGACCCTATCCCAAATTAATTATTGTGCTATGGGATATGATTAATTTACTATGCGAGACTAAAATATCTTATACCAAATTTTAAATATAAATTTTCATGGATCGTAATCGTTAAATATATGAAAATTAACTGTTAAGATTTGATGTAAGATTTTTTATTCTTATACCCTTATAAAAATAACTTTGACATAAAGTGATAACTCTCACTTAATAGTTACCTAACTTTTACTCCAATACCCTTTGTGCTTTATCTAACTTGAACATTATAGCTAGTGCTTTACCAGATACACCATTCCTCCTATATGTCCTAATAGCAGCCCCATTAGTAGGACCCCATTACTAGAGCGAAACCAGAAACTATCCAACCTAGTTCAAGATCGGTATATACAAATATCGATTTATCTTTCATTTTTTACACATATTTGAAACAGTTTTTTGCCAGTTTTACAAGCGACATACATAAAACAACAACACATCTATGCTGTAATTGTTGGGTTTATTAATTCGATACTGGGACAAGGGTTATAATACTAATAACACATATCAAACATAATAAATTCAAGAAACTCAACCTGAAAAAAGCTTATGCATTATTCTATTGCATGGTGTTAGGAGTGTCACTCTCTCGCTGCATAGTTTTGGCATAAAAAAAAGTGCGTGATTAACATTAATCTATTCTAGTTTAAGATCCCCTCAGAATCTCCAATTGGTTAGATATGCCCAAGTCACTCGATGAATAGAGTATTGTAATTCATAAAATGATACCACCAATGGCAAAACACTTTGGTTGAAGATTCCAAATACAAGAATCGACGGGTATTTCATAGCTTTGAGAAGTCAACCGTTGGATTCTCCGTTCCCAAAAATGTACATATGCAAATGCAAGACACATGACGCCAACTGTCACTGATTCACCTTATCAATCCCAAATTCCAATTTTAGCCTTAATATGATTCAGAATTTGGAACTAACATAACAACTAGCATACCAAAAAAAACACATAACACAAAGCTTTCTTTCTCGTCTAACGTAGCAAAATGACAAATGGTACATACACTAGTGTCCTGTTATTGTTACAACATCCAATACTCCAAAACTTCACAGGCTAAGGTCAAAGCACATACTATATAATCTCTCTCTGTTGCTTCTTCTTGATCCTGGTATCTCTCCACAGCAGAGAATATACATACATATACTTATATATAGAATAACAAAGTTTGTTCAAGAAGTGGATCCTGAATGAATCATCTACCATCAAACCTCTTGCCCAATGAAGCAAACCCCGAGTGGATGAACAAGGGTGACAACACGTGGCAGCTAACAGCAGCTACTCTGGTGGGGCTGCAAAGTGTTCCGGGGCTTGTAATCCTCTATGGCAGCATAGTGAAGAAGAAATGGGCATTGAACTCAGCATTCATGGCCCTTTATGCATTTGCAGCGGTTCTGGTTTGTTGGATAGGTTGGTGCTATCAAATGTCTTTTGGTGAGAGGATCTTTCCATTCTTGGGACGTCCAAACATGGTCTTGGAAGAGAAATTCCTTCTGCGCCAAGCTTTTGCAGGGAACTTTCCAAATGCCACCATGGTGTACTTCCAATTGGTTTTTGCTGCCATCACGTTGATTCTCATAGCTGGGGCTTTGCTAGGGAGAATGAACTTTCATGCATGGATGTTGTTTGTTCCACTTTGGGTCACTTTCTCTTACACAATATGTGCATTCAGTATTTGGAGCAAAGATGGATGGTTATTCAAGATGGGTCTCATTGATTATTCTGGTGGCTTTGTTATTCACCTTTCTTCTGGGATTGCTGGTTTCACCGCAGCATGCTGGGTATTATAATTCTTTAATTTGCATATGTTTTATGTATGATATGTTGGATATATTAACAATATAGTCCAATAATACATATACATACAAATCCTTTAGGATTTTCCCTAAGTAATCGATAACACTATCGAGCATTCCAAAATCTGATGCCTTTTTGACCTTTAGCATTTCAAGTACCTCTAGATCGTTCTCTCTCAAACCTATAAACTCCAACATCATAACACTTTATAATTCACTTTTTTATGAATGAATGATGATAGTATAAGGATTGTGGAGGATAATTAATTTGTTTTGCAGGTGGGACCAAGGGCAATAAAGGATAGAGAGAGGTTCCCTCCAAACAACATACTTCTAATGCTGCTTGGGGCTGGCCTACTATGGATGGGATGGACTGGATTCAACGGTGGAGATCCTTACACAGTCAGCATAGATGCATCTCTAGCCGTCCTTAACACCCACGTATGCACTGCCATGAGCTTGCTGACTTGGCTTTTCCTTGACATCCTCTTTTTTGGAAAGCCTTCTGTGATTGGTGCCACTCAGGGCATGATCACTGGCTTGGTTTGCATCACCCCTGCTGCCGGTACCATCATATTCATATCTCTTATATTATAAATATAATATAAAATTATTCTTAAGTTGTTAGAAGAGTTAGTTCATGATATCATATAATACATTTTAAGAAGAAACATTACATTATGCTTTAATTGCTTGAAGTGTTACAACTAAATTTGTTAGGTGAATATGAAACATTGATTTTATTTATTTGAGTTTAGGTGTGGTGCAAGGCTGGGCAGCAATCTTAATGGGAATGTTATCTGGAAGCATACCATGGTACACAATGATGGTCCTGCACAAAGAAATTAGGCTCCTCAAACAGGTGGATGATACCATGGCAATTTTCCACACCCATGCAGTGGCTGGTTGCTTAGGTGGCATTCTTGCTGGCTTCTTTGCAGACCCTAAGCTTTGTCGTCTCTTCTATCAGGTACCTGATTGGGAGCACTATACGGGACTTGCTTATGGCATCCTTACAGGGAGGGCCAAGGCAGGGTTCAAGCAAATGGGGGTTCAGCTCCTTGGCATTGTGTTTGTGATATTGCTCAATGTCACCACAACTACCATTGTTTGTTTGTTGGTTAGGATTGTTGTCCCACTGAGGCTTCCTGAAGATGACTTGCAAATTGGGGATGATGCTGTTCATGGTGAAGTTGCCTATGCATTGTGGGGTGATGGAGAGAAACTTGAGACTGCCAATGAGACTTTGGCTTTTGAAAGGAATTATGAATGGCCAATTGTAAAGAGTTCGAGTGAAGTTCAATTGGAATGAAGGATCAGAGAGTCTAGCTGTTCTGCTGGTTTTGTGATTGTTTGAGAGGAAAGTAATGAGTAATCTCAAGCAGTAAGAGGCAATGCTGAACTGTGAATTTAATTCCTCTGTGATTATGGTTGCAAAACTAGGATGCTCAGTGGAATTGCAAGATGAGAAATAAAAATGTTTATTCAAGTAGCTTTTGTAAGCTTGTATGCTTTAAACAACGACAAAAGTGATGTTTGTAGATATTTTTCATGTAACATAACACTTGTATTTCCCTATATATATATAAGGAACGAATATACTTACCATCAAAAAAATTTATCACTCTTACAACCAAATTAATCACTGTTGATTTTTGTCAATGTAATGGTTATAAATTATTGAGAGTTAATAATTAATTAATAAATGTGATCCAATAAATGTTATTAATTTCCAAAAAATTATATCAGTTAGATTGACGAAAATCAACGGTAATTAAGTTGATTGTAAGAGTAGTAAACTTTTCTGGTGATAAATGTATCCATTCTCATATACATATATTGCAAGCAACGAAATTTAAACTTGAGATCCTTCCTTTGAGGATTCGAAAACTTCCCATTGGACTGATATAATATTTATTATATATTATTTTAAAATATGATTAATCTAATTAAACTACTGACCCAATACTTCGTGCCTGTTTGGATCCTCTCTTTTTTAAGCTACAAGTTATTATAAGCATAATTAGGCCAAACAAGTTTTGAAAAAAGCTCTTATAATGAAAAATTCTTTTTTTTATAATAAAGAAAAAAGCTAAAAACTCCTAGGAGGAGCTTTTTTTAAGCTCTTATCAGCTTTTCTTAAATTGTGTTTTTTTAGATGAAGAACTGTAAAGATAAAAAAAGATAATTTTATTAAAATATGTGCTTTTAAGCTAAATTTTTTATGTAATTATCAAATAACTTTTATTTTTTTAAGTTTTTTTTTTAACTTTATCTTATAAAAACTTCTAGCTTAAAGGAAAAAAAATTCAGGTGGTGTTTTTTTTATACGTGCTGATAGTTAATGACTTGTGTGGTATCCATTGGCTATTGTGGTAAACCGTGTCAGCTAAATTGGGAAGCAAACAAAACAAAAATAACAAAGACCACCTTCGCAGTTGCAGTGTCTTCTTTATGGTTAGCAGTAGCACTTAGCAGAGTTTAAAGGCATGAAAATGACAGGAACCAAAAAAGAAAAAACAAAAGGCTCGCTATTTTAAGTGTGATTTTGATGAGTGCGCAGAGCACATGTAGAAAGAAAAAGAGCTTTTTTGAAGAACAGAATTAGAAAGATACTGAAAGTGAAGAGAGAGGCTCTCGTTCTTTGAAATGGGTATTATTCCGTAGTGTTTAATCTCACTTCTCAGATCTGTATCATGCTTGATGCTTATGGCGTCTGAAACGGCGTCGTCGGCGGATGAAGAAACCATTGCTGTTTCGGTTGCAGTTGCAGGAACAGGAGTAACTGATAAGAGAGGCAAACACCGGATTCTTGCCGAATTGAAGCGTCTCGACCAAGACTCCAAATTTCTTCAGGTTCCACGCTTTTACCTATTTATTTTTTCATTTCTTTCTGTTTTAATCAATAATAATAATAATAATGTTAGAAATTTTGTTTGCTCATATGCATAGGGAACTAATTAATTAATTAATTAATTAATTATATAGTATAGTTTGGAATGGAAGACTTATAATAAAATAGTGGAGCTTTGGCAATGTGGTTACTGAGAAGGAAAAATTATTAGAGAGAGAAATACACCATTTGGATCCTATTAGTTTCACAACTTAGCCAGTTCCAGAGCTTTAAATATACTGTGGCATATTCCTAAGGCGTGTAGTTTTCTTCTTACTATGGAAAATTTTGATGCTAAGAAAATTTGTTGCCCTGTTTGAAATTATCTTCAGTTTTTCACAGTTTGCAGACTGCTAGCTGTGTTGCAATTTGACAAAATAGCATATGCTTCTATGTTCAGAAGAACCCAATTAACTTTAATGCATAATGAATGTATTTTTCCCAGAAGATATGTACAATTCATTCCAAAATATTTCTGGAAGGTTGAAACCTACCTAGAACCATATGGATTATTTTTCTTCTGAGAAATCTGGCCAGTTACTTGAAATTTCAGCTGCCTTCTTTTTCGTTTCCTTGAAAGTTATAACAAGAAAAATTGTTATACAATAACTTACAATGGAGGAAAAATAATGTGTCGTGTGTCTGCTTTCTAACTTCCTAGCAAAAGTTCAAGTGGTTTAGTCATTTAGTTCACATAAACTTATCTATCTTGTCTTAGACGTGAATATTTAATGAGGAGTTGCATTGCTTATCATTTCTAATTGCTTGCATCAATGTTAGGCCATTTTACAAAGTTGAGTGTTTTCTTTTAGTGTAATCCAATAATTAACTGCTTTGAAAAAGTCACTTATCTCTCTTACCTCATTTCCTGCATTTGTCATTTGTTATTCATTCTATCTTCTTTAATGTTATGCAGGAAGAATTGGAAGAGCTTGAGAAAACAGAAAATGTGTCGACCATATGCATGGAGTAAGTACTGAGGGAACAGTTGTTTCTCTTATCTGTGAAAAAAGAATAAGAAAATTCTGATAAATAGGTCATGGGATAATTTTAGATTGTATGAATTTCAACATCTGAAATAGATAAATTCTTGTTCGATTTGCCCATTCAGCAAGATATAAATATATGTTTCTCTATTGATGGACCCTTTTTGTCAACTTGGGGGCTGAGTGCACCCAGCATGGTTTTTTTCTTAGCTTTGCTTATAAAAGTTTATCTTGTTCTTAGTCGTGAGGTACAATATGCTATTAGGCTTAAACAATTTCACTTGGCATAGTGCAGCTTGCTACAAAACATGGAAAGTAGGCCTGATCCACTACTCCCAGAGTAATTTCTATTACCTAAATCTTTACTTCGTATTAAGTCTTGTTTGTAGGTGTAGTGCGTAATCATCAGTTTTCTCTAATAACAGAATACATGGACCTGTAAACCTCTTATGGGATAGATGGTTTGAAGGGCCTCAGGATCCACAAGCTTGTAGATGTTGGATACTTTGATTTGAAGCTGTGTCAATTTCTTTGCCTTGCCTTGCCTTGCAAATAGGATGCCACATGTTACTGCATAAAGTGACTCTGGAACTGAAGAGAATGTTTGATGACATTTTATACAACGCATAGTAACTCTTTGGTGGATTCTTTCTTGCATTACAGTACATTCTGCAATTGAATATTGTTTATGTGTAATCTCATTCATTCACTGCATTCAATTGAGAAGCATCATTATTTGTGCTTACACCAGTTTGCATGTAATCCGAAGCTAACTGTTAATGCACCTTGGTGTTAACTGTTACGTGTGTGCATGAGTCAACCTAGAAACTGACATATCTTAGCGGCATTCAGCCTTGAAGGTGGTGGCTTTCGGAGAGGCCTGAGTCCTGACAATGGCTTGATGAGTTATCAACTAAATCTGAATGAGAATGAGATATTCTGGCAGACCTCGTAGAGGATGGGAAATCAAAGAATGCTCTGTGAGTCGTAATCCCTCATCTCACATGAAATGTGTTATGATAGATTTTGTAATCATGTTGCTTCTAAGCCTTCTTAAGTTTTGTTGTTCCATTTAACAAGCTTTTACTTTCTCTGTGTGCATTTTTTTTTTTTTTTTTACTCTCCCTCTGTTTACCACCACCTGTTTGATCCAAGGGATCATATTTAATTTGGGGCTGTCAGTTGGTGATATAAGCGAGCAGATCACAAGAGGTGACAGATCACTGGATGCAAAGATATTAAGGCTCAAGGTATAGTGGGATGTGCGTAGTAAGCATGTAGAATTAGGATTTCAGAAATATGTACTCGACTGTACCTCAGTATTTATAAAGGGAAATTACTTCAGAGTTTTAGTTTGAGTGGATATTCTCAGCCACAAGTCATGCAAATATGATAAGGTAGTTACCCATCTGAGAGGATAAGTAATCCTCCTAGAAGCATGATCCATTTAGGTGGATCAGGCCTGGGCCGGGTATACATGTCCTCAACACCAACCTTCCACTAAAATTGCTTTCATATGGTATTATGTTTGAATTGTTACCTTTAAATTCCTTTCACGTTCAGTCCAATATATACTTGTAGCTATACTATTGCATAATAACCATGAAAAAATATCCCCTCATCTCGACTAAAACTTGGCTCATTTGCTAGTAAAGTGTAAACGCTAGAGGAAAAGGAAAATGAAACCGACACGAGAGTAATCAAATTCTATGGACCTAGTAATTAGTAGCCTTTTTCATTAAGAAGCTGAGAAGGATCTTGGGGTAATTAGCTTTTGTTCGGGAATGGCTGATAATGATGTTGGAAGATGGGGTACATGTTTGGGTAAAGCTAATGCATGTTTTGGTCCAATTCTTTCCTCCTCAATATCTTGCAAAATCCTTTTTTTTTTTTTTTTAACATTCTCAAATTTATTCTTTCAGAATTCACTTTAGAAAAAGTAATTCTTGACTAATCATTTAAAATAAATTCCGGATTTTTCAATTGGTTAAGATATTCAGCATTTAGGCTCTATCTTGATTGAAGCAGATAGACGATTGATCTACCTAACCCAGCAAAGGAAAAGAACACGAGTCAATGTTTTCTGGTGGCATGATCTACTCCTTGTGCTTGGAGATAAACTATTAATGTTCCGTCTCAAGTATCTAAAGTGCGCCTCGCGTACATGTAAGACTAACAGACAAATAAATAAAGTTGTAGAGGCCGGCAAGCTCGTCACCTAGACAGCATTCAAATAGACCATATAGATCCAAAATTTTCTACATGGATTAGTTGAAGTCTATGTTATTTATAAATCACCGTATTAATTTAAATTTGAAGGCCCTTACCAGCTAATTATATGTATATTATTAATTTTGGATATTAAATGATGAAAATAAGAGAGAATATTAATTTGAGTCGTATGATGATATCTAAAGATGTTAGAAACAAATTTGTATGCCACTAAATTATGTGCCACTAGCAAATATTTTCAGTAGTGAAGCTCAGCCCCCCGGGGTCTGCACATGGCACTCATTGAAGATGTGATCAATACCCTTTTTGTTATAGAGTAGTTTGTGCGTTTTTCTATGTATTGTTCTTATTGTACAACCAAAAAAGAAAAAGAAAAAAAGCATTAGAATTAAGATCCCATTTGGTAGAAGAAACATGGCATATAAAATGACCAATGCACCATCGTCGTCAGCACCTATATTAAAAGCAAATGGTAGGCAATCTGGACTCATAATTTATAATAAAATTTATGGAAAGTTTCAATTCATGATTACAGTAAGAGGACTACTTGACCATAACGAGTCTTTATATGAATATGGATTGGGTGTGCATGAAGCATGAAGCCATGTTTTGAAGCATATGATGAAGTGCCCCAATTATTTGACAAAGAGAGAAAGGGGAGCATGTGAGAATGGATATTATCGATGAGAAAGGGCATTGCATTTGGCCACAACAATGTTTACGAGTTCCAAGCAAATTAAAATGGAGACATCACTCTTTTAATGGGCACATCTACAAAAAGGACCGTTAAGCATCATTTTCTATTCCTTTCTCCCATCGCTTTCACTTTGTCCTCTTTTTAGCTTTTAAATTTAATCCATGTTCAGATTTTGTCTATCTCTCTCGATACATATATATTATGGGTTCCCTTTTTGTCATTTGACATGACAAGAACACTTTTCTACACACACAAATCAAGTGTGGGTCCCACGCTTAAAAAAAAAAGTCAGACTAAAATCAGGATACGACGCCGTATCCTTGTTGCAGGAATGAACAGTGTCATTCCTGCAACATGATTCTTATATTTCCCATATATTATATAGTTTAATTTAATCCACCAACTGCTTAGAAAAACGAGACAAACAAGGAAGTATAAGAACGTTCATATTATTGGCTAGTTGCCTTTCGTTGAAGGAAAACTATAATAAACACATGCCGCGGTGTGTTAACTTATAAACTAGACACTTGTTTATACTGTATTACATAGTTAAAACAAATTCTATTCCATTTACATTTTGGTTATACCTAAACCCTATAAAATGTGACCTCATTCGTAGCAGAGGACTGTTCTATGTTCTGCTGCATTTTCTTTCTTACATCTGGTGAATTGACAGTGGTCTAGCCAACTAGACCGGCCAAGCTGAGTCTATTACCGAAATAGATTTACTCAAATTACATTATTTTTATAAATTTCTTATTATTGACTAGGGAGATTATTTTTATACCAGTATCAAAATAAAAAATCTTATAACAAATCTTGTTCATTAATTTATTTGCATCCAGCGACTCACATATTTAACAAATCAGAGTCGTTAGATATAAATAGAATTAATGATTAAGGTTGAAAATGTAACTTATCGGTGTAAAATGATCACAACCCTTTATTATTATTTTATTTACTGTATAAAAAATTCTAATCATGATGCGTTTATAAATTTTTGGATTTTTATTTTATTTTTTATAAATAATGTGTACAAAATAACAGCGTAAACATTTTTAAAAAATTATCTATGTTTTGTCTTGGAAGTTGGGATAAACTATTTGCATGTTATACTCATTTTCATATTAATATTGTATTCACTTAATATTTCAGTACTGATATAGTATGCATAATGTGTATTGTGAAAAATTGTTTTCTCAGATTAATTACATGTGCAATAATTTCATTAATGATGTTAATTTAATTAATTACATGAACCATTTTATCTAGTGAATGAAACCTGCATATATATGTGTGTATACTGTCATACTCATGTAGGATTTCTAATGTGTGATTTTTTTATTTTTGAGGTCTCTTTTTCAATTTATCTATAAGTTTCTAGCCTATTTATTTGTAATCCTACTCCAACCGTGACTAGTATTTTAGATAACAATAAATTTTCCAACCTTTATATGAAAGAAAAAATATTGAACAAACTTACATGGTCATAGGGTCATAGAGATTACACTTATTGTTTCCCGGATATCATGTGCAAAGATTCATCTTTTTCTTCTTTATTTCATCACTTATCATCTTCTTTTGGACTTTGAATCTTTAATTTCCCGTTATTAGGTAAGAAATAAACACAAAGGCAAAGGCATGTGAATGTTAGGAGACTGCTCTATTTTTGGAATATAAAAAATTTGACCCTTGTTTTAGATTAGGTCGTGCTTATATACCTATAGCTTGTCAGAGCATCTGTAGGGTAATAATATATTCAAATTCCACAGGGAAAGGATAAGTAACATTTCCCACTAGATGACAAGGATGACTTATTCTCCTGCACATGAAGAAGAACTTGAACAACTTTATTTACCCCTTTTACATTATCAGACAAGAACATGGTTAGATACATAATCTTTCACCTTAATTATTACCCATTATAATTCTCGCTGTGTTTGCGGATTCACATGTCTGACTTTACGCACTTGTAACTATAAAGTTGAATTGAAAAAGTTTGAGTTTTTTTTTTAGTACATAAAAAATAAAAAAATAAAAAAAAAGTTTGAGTTTTGTGTAAGTAGAAATGTATTTATTTAAAAAAAAAAGAATTGTATTTTTTTAATTCCATTTAAATTATTCTAAATTTAAGATTTCTCTACCACTCATTGATTACTGTAATTAAGGTTGTTCTCCTAAAACATTATCTCCATTATTCCTAGGGCTCAAATTAAGGTGAACAAGCTCCTTGCTACTTTTTTTTTTTTTTTTTTTTTGGTAAATAAGCTCCTTGCTACTTTAACTAATGATTTGGTATTAATTAAAAATTAAAAAAAACCAATTCACTTTTATTAATTTATTTTCAACTTTAAAATAGTAAGTTTCTATTTATAACAATAAAAGGCATAATATATAATTCACATTTGAGATTTCTTATTATTAGAGAGATATAAAACTACTAATGTAGTATCACCCAAGGCCTTAAGATGTAACCCAAAAGCTTAAATTTTTTGATTGAATTGATTTTTTATATGGTATTAAACATCAGTGTTACATATCCGATCACCATCGCCTCTCATTTAATTAATAATTAATTAAGTCTTTGTGGAGTTTTTTTTAGCACAAGTAAGTGAGACTGTACATTGTTTAGTGGGCTTTTGTGTGAGGAGGCATGTTAAAGAAATATAAAAACTATAACCTCATCCAACGCCTTAAGGTTTTGGGTTGAATTGACGTTTTACATAGTATCAGAGTTGGAGTGACCAATTGGTCACGAGTTCGATCATGACCGGTCTCCATTTTGTGGTGGAATTAAGTAAGCATAAAGTAAACTAAAAATGGGTCTGTGCATCAATTCTCATACTTCAAGCGCAAATGGTTCCTATGTCAGGGGTGTGTTAGAGAAATATAAAATTAAATCATTGATATAGTCTCACTAAAAATCTTAAGGTTTTTGGTTGAATTGATTCTTAACACTTATATTCGCAATCGTACAAGTAATTTTTTTTTTTTATAAACAGTAATTTTATTTGAGATTGAAGACAAAATTTCCTGAATTGGTAGAGTTATTTATATAATCATATACAAAAGCTGCATGAGTAGAATCCTCCGGTTGAAATTCAAATGTGAAAGATAAAAATTAATATTGTTTAGAATTAAGTGAAGAATATAAAGATTTATTGTCTTAAGGCCTTAAGTTAAAATATGATGTTCAAGTTACTTATGATTTGTTGCTTTAATGAAAGTTTTCATATCTTGCAAAAGAAAGGAAAAAGGAAAGATTGTCCAATATAATAGTTTTGTGCCATTTGCCACTATTAATAGGTAGGATCTAACTAAGAAGCTTTTTGTTTTCTCATAATTAATAATATAAATTTAGAGTAAATACCATTTTTAGTCCTCAACAAATTTTAGGATACCCGCTTTAGTCTCTAGCAAATAAAAAGGCTATTCGTGCTCCATAAGAAATTCAAAGTGGATCCATTTTAGTCCTTTTAAGGGACTAATGTAGGTCTTTTTTGAATTTGTGAGGGACCACAATTTCAATTAAATTGGTTCATTTTGAATTTCTTAGGAACCACGAATA